GCTGGGTCACGTACCTATCCTGCTCTAGTAGGTGGATAGCCGAGACACGAAGGCATCTGTCCTCCTCTATAAGGATAACTCTGCCGGTTACGAAACTCTGCTCACTAGGGGTAAGGCTGAGGTCGAGGGCCTAGGGAAGTAGATAGAACTCTGTCGTCTTCAGGTGCTCGTAGTGATCCCTCATCACTCTGCGAAGTGCCTTGTGTGAGACAGCTCGCAGTCCCTCCTCAACTGTGTCCTCTATAGTCAACTCGGTGCAAGCTGGGATAGTCGGTAAGGTGGTGCTAGCTAGGAACTCGACTGAGGTGACAACTGGTCCTTCGATTCCTCCTCCCTGAGTTGACTTCTCGGTATAGGTGACCTTGACAAGCTCGTTAGGGACTCCTAATGTGACGAGAACTCGACAGAGGGTCTGTGCAAAACCCCTGAGCTCACATAGGTCGAAGGTAAGCTTGGCGTGGTCTAGAGGTAGCGGTCCTAGAGGCAGCCATTCGACGTTCGTTGCCATCTGCATGTTTTAAGGAACAGCTGTTAGCAGGTCAATAAATAGATAAGCCTTGCATAAAAGTAAATGCAGGGTCGGTATATAACCGAAAGAAGGGCTGTCCACGTCCTATTCTATCGTCCATTTCTAAGGGTTTTGTCCTATGGTCAAGTATGTCTCTGATACCAACTGAAACAACCCCGATTTCCGTGAAGGGAAATCCACAGAGTCAAAGTGTAATAAGACCGTTGTAGATCATATTACCCAAATTCCAGTCGAATATCACATCCATACCATGATAATATCAGAGTACAAATAGTGCGGAATACATAAATTATTACATCGCCGCATTGGCGGAATCAAAAGTAGCATTCATTCAGAACAGCTTGAAGATAAGATCGCCAAACTCGAGCATAGGAATGAACCCCTCAACCGTCAAACTCCTCAGAGCTATACTCCTCAGCAGAACCTGTGTGCCCAAAATTTATCAGTACGATTTGTACTGGCCACTCCCAACCCTATGAGCATTGCTTTGTGGAAATTGGATGCAAGTTGGATATAATCAAAAGGAACCTATAAGGCTGGGGTTTCCTATGTATTAGCATATCAAGTACATAATAATAGTGGGTCAAGTTTTAACACCGTTCTCAAACATTCCACCCCATTTCCCATTCCCGAGCCAGGTTTCGATCCTGGGATCAATATACCACCATCTCCACACCATCACCATACCACACCCATACCATCGCTCAGTCAACAGGCCAACTCCCTCTCGGCACTGTCTCAAGGCCCGTAGCCCCTGGCAACGTCCGAACTCTCATTCCAAGGGGAGAAAAGAAGGACTCATCTCTCTATCTAGTTTAAGCGAAACCCAGGAAAGGTCCATAGCCAATAAGTCAGCATATGTATCGATCGATCAACCATACACTCTGCAGAGGTTTTACATAACCACAAGATCTGCCTTCCTTGCTGACCGTCGTCAACTGGGCTGATTCCGGCCGCTTGCTAGCCTAGGATAATGCCACTCTACCATTCAGCCCTGGTACACCCCAAGTCTAGTCTGGGGTGGCTAAAACTGTAAGTCATGAGCCGGGTCCACAAGGTCTCCATGAAGTCTCAGAAGGGTGTGGGGGAAATCCTCCGCGCCCCGTACCTCCTTACACTGTCTGCTACCAACCTAGCAGTAGTGGCAATATCCTACCAAGTAGTCTGGCCGTCCCGCACCATATAGGGCGAGTGGTACGTAAGGCTTTCCGGTGAATCTGAGTACTAGTAAGTCCTTAGGGATGACCAAGCCAGAATGTCTTCATCAGGGTTTCCATTTACCGTGCCACCACAGCACCTCCACCCTAGGCTCCTCCCATCACAGGATCACACCTAGGGCCACCTCATATACCATTTACCCACCACAGCTATCCATTCCAGGGGTGCCCAGGTAGCACCCCACGGCAAGACTTGCCCTAGGCTCGTCGTATACTCCAACTTGGTCGACACAACCCTCACCCTCCACGCACCCAAGTCACACGCGCAACACTCTCCCCATGGTCCAGATAACACCAGTTTCCACCACGCATCAATGTAGTGTAAGCGTAGTAGAAGTAATAAGCAATGAAATGTAATAGCAAGCGTGTGACTAGCCTATCAACAGGGTGAGCAGGGGTAAGGTTGCGACAAGGTAAAGGCCATCAAGAAAACATACTACCATGCAAGTCCTACCATAATGTGATCATGATAATAAAGTAAGCACTAGCATTTCTATATTAGCCATGCGTAATAGGTGCTACGAGATTGGGTGGGATGTGGCACCTTCAGTGTAGTCATCTCCGTACTTCTCACGGTACTCACGATCCTCGTCCGTCCGGTTCTCCTCCGAGTCTACAAACAACCGCATTATAGTCGCGTTAGCGATGTCTATAGAATAGCACAAAGAAGCAATGAAAATTCAAAAGAGCCAAATGCACTCAAGCATGGGTCCATTGCGTAGAGCTCGATTTTAGATGAATTTTGGTCCTGGTTTCGTATTTTTCTGAGGTCATATGAATTGCGTGGGCCTCTACTGGGCTTCGTCCACAGCTCGCGGGCGTGGGCGTGGCTCACGGTGGACCAGGTGGTGCTGGTCCATGGACCTAAGGCAGGGTCCCTGGTGGACCAAGTCCACCATTATTTCCCTCGGCTCGGCTCTTGTGCACCGGGTGCAAGGTCACTGCTGCTCAACTCGCCCTCCTCCTCTGTTTCTTCCACGGCGGCTTCACAAGTCGTACAGATCACCATGAGCTTCATGAAGATGCTAGCGCCCAATTGGCGTGGGGAAAAGCACTGTCAGGCTTTGGCGACTGCGATGGTGGTGTCGGGGCGATGGCTAGGACTCCCTAGGAACCTGGCCACGGTGGTTGGTGGTTCAGCGGTGCCCGCCGACGGTGAAGTCGCTTGTCTGAGCTTCCCCAGTGTCTCTCTACCAAGCGGGTAAAGGCTTCAGCGGTTCCATGGGAGCATGGCGAGGGTGTCCAGTGCTCAAGGCGGGGCTCAAATTCTCATGAGGCCGGTAGGGGTTTCCTGGCGGCCACGGCGACATGGTGACAACGGCGAGGCGCACGGGTGCACTACGAGGCTCCAGCGGGGTGGTCACGGCGTGCGCGTGAGTTACCCGTGGCTCCAGCGAACAGGATGGGCGAGACAAGGAGACGCCAGGCGCTCCCAGCGGACCTGGCCACGGTGGTCTGGTGCTCGGGCCGGTGGTGGTGGTGCTCTGGCCGGTGGTGGTGCTCTGGCCGGTGGTCTAGTGCTCTGGCCGGTGGTCTGGTGCTCTGGCCGGTGGTGGCCACGCCATGACGGTGGCGTTGCGAGCGCGATGAGCGAGTGCTCTGCCTTGGCGTCTGTGGGGCTTGGAGGGGTCTACAATGTCCAAGGGCTCGGAGGTGGTCGCGGTGTGCGCTTGAGTGTGCCGTGCGTGTGTACCCAGTGGCGGAGATGGCCTTGGCCTACGCGCTCATGATGTGAAGTGCCATGGCCAACATGGTAAGGTCTGGCGGCGAGCAGGGAAAGGCCAGAAGGCTCACCGTAGGTGTTGAGGGCGAGAGGATAGCGGTGCAGTGAAGAGTCGAGGCCGTGTAGCTCCGGAAGCCGTGTCGTGCAGTGTCGTCCACTCCGGCTCCGGTGATCTCCCGGTCTTCCTCCAGGCAGTGGCTCTGGTATTTCCTTCCCCCCCCCCTTCTTCCTCTCCTCCCTCTTCTCTCTTGGCTAGGATGTGCTGTGGACGGCCACAAGGTGGCGGCGGGGCACATGAGAGCGCTAGGGCAACCGAGGGCCGTGGCTTTATAGCCAAGCTCCGAGCTCTAATGGCGGACGGTGATCGAGGGTGGAGGCATGATTAGTGGCATCCAATGGCTCACGTGCGGTGGTGTAGGCGTGGCGCAAGGGTTGTGTGGGTACGGCGCCAAGGAGATAGGGCCATGCCCCGGGCGTGACCCCTGGCTGCCCTGCCACCGCTGTCGGGCGCCGGTCGCATAGGCGGTTGAGGCGTGGGTGAGGAAGACGACACTCAGACGGGTGTCTGCGGTGACATGCGGGTCCAATGAGCGGTGGGCTGCGGATGAAGAAGAAGAAGGCGACGGTGAGCAACACGTCATTGGCGCATGAACTGGGCTGTTACGCGAGTTGGGCCGACCAAGCTACTACTCTGTAGGCGTCTTGACTGGGGCGGCCGTGATGATGGTCAATGGGCTAGCTTGGGTCGAGCGGCTAGCTGCGAGGCCCACTTCTTCTTTTCTTTTTTCTGTTTTACATTTCTTTTCCATTGTTTGGATTCAAATTTGGTTTAGAATTTGAATTCAAAACTGAGGTAACTTATTCATTGGAGTTTAGAGAATTTTGTTTAATAATAACTTTATGGTTTATTACTTTATTGGAGTCGTTTAGCAAATCATAACTCAAATGGAAATCCAAATCATATTTTGAATTAACAATGTATGCAACATTATATTTGTTAGAAATTAATAAACACAGTTGTCTAATGACATGCCATGCTTATATGTTGACTGGGGTTGGGTTAGACTTAATGCATCTCTTAGGTTGGGTTTCTATACATGACACTCATCATCACATGGGATTCTTGAGAAAAAAAAATTTGTAGTTGTGATTTTTGGTGTATGGATTTTTGGGTTGTTACAATTGTGAAATGGAGAGGTTCAACCCTGGCAGGAGCTGAGGGGGACCGATTTGAGGCAAATCACACCCAATACCACCAGGGCAACTGGAACCCTCAAGGTGGGCAAGAAAATAGAGAGCAGGGGCAGTTCAATCCAGGCAAGGGAGCTGTGGGAAACCGTCTAGATGCTAATCAAGGCCAACAACATCAGAATCCCTAGATCCCTCTGGGGGGCAGCTCCAGGGACATTCAACTGGCGGGGAGCATGGTCTGAACATTACTGAATGTAACCACACTTCCTCTTCCCAAGAGATCAAATGCTTTAGATGTTTTGGTACTGGCCACTACCAAGTTGATTGCACCAATGACCCTATGTGTTACAAGTGCAAACTCAAAGAGCATTTGGCTGTGGATTGTAAGTCTTCTGAGCTCAAGAAACTTAAGATGTATGGATTTGGGGTACTAGGACAAGGATTCTATGCTTTCAACTTTCCTGAACACAAAGTGAAAATTCGTCAGACTACTAGTTTGTTAACTGTGATAGAGGAAGAAGCCACAAAAGCAAAGCTGGACAGGGATTTGAAGAACTTGGTGAATGAAAGTTGGGATTTCAAGGTGAGAAAGATACATCCTAAAGAGTTTATAGTGGTGTTTCCTGACAAGGGGTCTTTGGATGCATTCAATAAACTATCAAAATTCCAAATGTCTATATATGGACTCAAGGAAAAGATTGAAGAAACAAATAGGGACCCTGAAACTTTGTTTATTTTGCAAACCTTTTGGCTCAAAGTTCACAACATCCCAAATTTGGCCAAAGAAGAAGAGGAAGTAAAGGAAATTGTGGGTTTAGTTGTTGAGCCTTTGGTTGTTGATGAACTTAGTCTGGTGAGAGCTGGACCTATAAGGGTTCAGAGTAGGTGTAGAAACCCAGGGGCTATTAAGGGGTCTATTAAAATTTTCTTTGATGGAGTTGGTACTTTCATCAGGTTTGAAGTTGAGGGTGGTAACTTGGGAACTATCAAAGGGAAGGGAGGGCCACCTGGTCCTGGTAAACCAGATGATAAGGCTGATAAGGACAGAGACAAATTCTCCAAGGGGGATAAGTCCAAAGGAAGCTCAGACAAATTCAACAGAATTGGCAAGATTGACCAAGAGATGGAATCTGGGTAGGTGTAATCAATGGAGGAAGCAATGGAAGAGTCAGGACAAAAAGTGGGTGAGATTGAGAATATAGCTATTCCCTTGGCTGCTTTCCATCCTTCAATTGGTATGTGATGAGGACATCCCAGCTCATCATGTGTTGGAACATGAAGAGCATTCACTGTCTAACACAAGTGAACATAATCATGTGCCACTTACAAGAAGCCGCGCCAAGAAACTACAAGAACAGGTGAAATCATTCCTAACTGATTGTAATTTTAACACTTCTGAGAATGTTATACTACCTAAATATTCTATCTTGATGATGCTTAGGTTTACACATGAAGACGTGGGGGACACATGGCCAATGGATCAAGACACGGTGCTACAAAGCGGCTCCATCGGAAAAGTAACACGGATGGATGACCGGACCCAGGGATAAGTGACGTGGATGGCCGATCGGATCCTAGAAAGAAGCCATCATAACTCTTGATTTCATGATGCTTTGGAGGCCCATGAGGACATTTTGGAAATCTTATCAAGTCAATCTTCCAATGGCGCAAGTTCCAAGTATTTTGAACTTCCCAAATGTTGAGATATGAGCAGATTAGTGAAGACTGCTTAGAAGGTCAACAGTCTTCTAGGGACAGAATGTTGGTACAACTTCCCATGCAAAACTGTACGATTCTACAATGTTTCGTGATGCATGCTGCACATGGCTGGAAAGCACTTTGAGTCTACTTTCACACTCAACATATGGTTTGTCATTTTGACTTCCCAATAAGGAGTTATGGCCAGATTAGTGGAGACTGCTAAGGAGACCAACAGTCACGCGAGACCACTTTGGGAATCCATCTCGTGGTGACCTTTCACATAGCCTACCTTCAAAAACTCCATTTCAATTTCATACCCAACTAGGAGGGTTGTTCCTAGTATAAATATCCCCTCCCTCTAAGCTATTAGAAACCTTTTGATGATTTGTTAAACTACATGATATTGCAGCCGAGCTGCCGAGTGTCTTACTCAAACCTTTGTTCTTCCTTATTCTTCTTGGACTTGTGAAGTGATCCCTCTGGGTTTCCCTAGTTTGTGCTCTATGGTTTCTAGTATGGCTGCACCGTTTTATATGGATTAGTTCCAGATTGTGGTTCTACGGTCGTTCGGAGATCGAGTCGAAGTCTTCGTGTTTTTGATGTCTCTCTCCCCGTCGCTTGGTCGCATCCAACCTTTGTTAGGTATAAAGCTAGTTACCCCGCTGTTCGTAGCAAGTTATCTTTGATTCGTGACCTACTGTCGTGAAGATCGGGCCACCCTCAAGTAGGTTCCTTATCAACTAGTATCAATGCTTTCGTTGTCATGGTAGGTCTCACCATCATCCACATATTTACCTTTGATTTATCCACCATTTGTCACTGTTTTTGTTCATGTCCTAAAGTCCACTAAAAAAGCCACAAAAAAATCCTATTGCCTTTTGGCGGTGCTGCTACCTCGGTCCGGTCAGGCACCATCCCTGTGCCACGCTGCACAGACAAGACAACACCCCCTGGCGGTGACGACTAGTACGGAGCCCACCGTCCAAATATGGACCGACAAGATGTGGGTACAATCCCACCCGCTACGGGATGGGATCCACAGTGAGAGCCTTGACTTAGAGGCCATCTAGACTGGTGGGAACCATGACCCCGATGATTGGGATCATGGCTCCTAGCTCCTCAAGCCAACAAGGCGAACAATGACCTCAGGGCGGCTACCTACTCTCGTACGATGCCCTAGGAAGCTAGAAGAAGATGACGAAGACCACAGCAGAAACCACGTGCTAATAGTGTCGCCATGGCCGGCACGGTAGCATCATGGCGCACCATGCTGCAACGTGGCCACAAGACCATGACGACAACCATGCCCGGACGTGTAACTCAAGGTGGCATAGCTTGTAAGCCAAGTTAGCTAGGACCTTCCTCAGGCTCACGACCCCTCGGTCGGGAGAACCTCATTCTTTGTTTGAACCCTGGCCCCGAACTCTATATAAGGGCAGCCAGGGCATTTCACTCATTCTCCATCATAGCAGGGCTCCTAGAGCTTCTCTTCAGGTAGTCCATCTCCTAGCTCTAGCTCTTCTTCCTCTTCCACCATTCTTGCATCCCCCATTGTAAGAACTTCGGAGCATTCAAGCGAGGAACATGCACTCGATCATCTTTGAGACTGGACATAGGGCTCCGGCCTAAACCAGTATAAATCCTCATGTCTTTTGGATGCTAACATCGTCTTCCTAGAGCAGCACGACAATCATATAAATTTACTAGTCTAGTTTACAAAACCCCAATAGTTGGTGCGCTAGGTAGGGGATAGTCGTGCACTCTCATTTGTGGAGCAGGAAGCAATGGCTCCTCACGCCATTGGTGGACTCGCTCATGGAATGGCCCACGGTGGCCACATCCGCCACAAAAACTATGAGTTCACCAGCATCAAAGGGCCAGCACCCGTGTTCGCCTTGAGCCACGGCCCATACCTCCACCTTGGAGATCTAGACTCCATGGTCCACGGCGGACACACTCTTAGAATTACCCTCAGGGGCTGCATCCTAGAGTTCACCTGCATAGGGGGACTAGCACCCTCTCATGTCACTGGCCATGGCCTAGACTTCCGCCTAGGAAGCCAGAGGTCCGTGGCTCATGGCGAGCTCCCCCGAGGAATGGCCCGTGGTGGCCACATCCTTCTAGGGGACCACGAGATCGCTCGGACCAATGGATCAACGCCCATCATTAGCTTCTATTCCATCCAGGCCAACCATGTGAGAAGCCTGGGGCCAGAGTTTGAACCACACCCTGAGCAATGTCTCTGCAACTAGCGGGGCGCAGCATGTTAGGGCGCGCACCAACGATGAGGTTACCCACTGCCACGCGGCGTCATCGTTAGGGATTAGGTGGCTACCTAGCGCCACGCCTCACAAGGCAAAGCTCGGAACCAAGGCCCAATCCTGCACAACGGACAGGCCATCCATCAAGCCCTAGCGAACTATTAGCTATCACTTAGAGGCGTGTGCCTTCGAGGAGGAGGGCTTCCTTAGCGCACCACGCACCGCACCGAGTGGACCAAGCTATGTCGTGCTCAGTACCCTCTTCCACAATGATAGGATGCGTTGGCTCTTCGACGAGAACCACAACCACACCCAGAGGTGAGGATGCAATGGTCACAACGTCATCATGCCACGTGGGCTCAAGCACCAGAATGCACAGGCCCTCCTGGCCAGAAGCTACAGCGGGCTGAACACGAAGAGAACACCCTCGGGGGCTCATAGGCCCACTGAGAATGTCGAGCTGGCAAAGGTCAACCCATAGCCAGCCGAGAGGTCAATCCGCGCCAGCTACGACCTTTCCAAGCATTGAAGAAGCGCCCTCATCAGCTCGGGGGCTCACCACAACCCGTACAACGACAACCATTTCCATGGGAGCTTCTGATACATTGGTCAGTCACATCCACTTTGACCTTAGCCTATCTACCTAAGCACATCCACATGCATATACAAGCCCACCAATAGTTGCAGAAACTTAGGGCCGACCCATAGAGCAAACCAAATAGCATGGTGCCCATACATTATATCCTAGTGGCGCTTAAATCTCGAGTGACTCGATCCGACTCACGCTCGTAGCCGGACACAACTCACTCGTAGGGACTACACCCGTGGGTACAGGTACACGACCTATGGCACAACACTATTTGCCATCATCCTAGTGACCGACCCACTTCCAACTCCTTCCAATCATGTCTCTCGTCGTAACGAGCTGGAGACCCATACCTCGATTTCTCGCTCACACGGGTCTGAAAGGAATAGGGAAGTCGCTCGAACGAGGCGAAGGAATGAAAGGAAAGGAATCTTTTGCTGCTCGGTTGCTTTCTATGGGGGATATGACCCCTGGTATCCATAAGGCAAGACATGGGCCACACCATCAGAGGTGGCCTAGCCCACAAGATCAAGGCGTGCACTGGTCTACGTGCACAGCAAGATATTGTATAGTACCAAATAGGATACTTTCCTTGTAACCCTACCCCTCCATAGTATATAAGGAGAGCCAGGGGTCCCCTAGACAACATCTACATACATCTCATATCCAATACAATAGAACAAAGATAGGACATAGGGTATTACGTCGATCAGATGGCCCAAACCTATCTAAATCGCTGTCTCTGCGCCTTGTGTCACCATCTAGTTCCTAATCACGCGCACCTCCACCGAGCAATCTACCTTCATGGGACACCCCTCGAAGGACTGTCGAGCATCTTTTGTTGACAGATGGCGCCCACTGTGGGGCTGTGCGTGCTGATCCATGGTGAACCAAATGGGATCTCAAGATTGACGCCGCTCGTGGCAACCTAACTTCCTGCGGCGGCGTGCTTCAGAAGCCTGGCAGGCTCGATATCACTCGACGACGGAATCAATCTACTATGGTGGCAACCTGGTACTTCACGATGGCAACCCTCTAGCTTGTGTTGGGACTTCACCCAGGTCCGTGACCGTCGGCATTCATGACTACACGCATTGTAGCGGCTTGAACGATTAACTCCCGGCTCTCATGGATTGTTTCTGATGTCAACACCGAATCATGAGATCGACAAAAGAAAAGGAAGGTTCACAGGACTCTAACCGCTTCAACAAGCATCAGTTTTGGATTTGATCCAATCTTGCAATAATGACCATGTGCACCTGTAGCACCATGCATACGAGGTACAACTGTCATGCCAGCCGAGTCCGATTTCGACTTGTAGCAATCCAGCCTGTGCCCATGTACTGGCTTCCGAGTTAGGCGGCGGCACCAAGTCTCGGCTGAGCTCTCGACGATTCAAGACCTAGATGCATCCATCATGAAACCATAGCTCTGACCAGGCGTATCCATCTACTTCAATGAGTCAGCCGAACAACAACAAGCCAGCAAAGAGGTCATGCAAGCCAATAGCAAACGAGCAAGCTGGTCAGCCATGCAGATCAATTTGCACGTATGCATGCACGACATGCTACACGTTCAAATTTGGCCTAA